AACACACAAAAAAGAGGGTAGTGGAGTGGCTCAAGGTGTAGGCCCTGAGTTCAAGCCCCAGTGTCAAAAAAAAAAAATGTGATAGAATGAGAAAAATTAGGTAGAAAATTTCACATACCTTGTGACAATAAATAATAAAAAGAAAACATGTAAAAAATGAAAAACAGTAAATATTCATGCCCTCTGAAATTATCAAGAAACACCATAGTATATATTAAAGCAAAGACTTAAGGTCTGCTTTTGACATGGTAAACATGAGTGTCAAATTCTTATTTATCTTGATACTTTAGAACTTGATGGTAATTTTTGGTTTCATACTAGTTTTCAGGAGGAAGAATTTTCCATATTTGGCATAGTAAATAAAAACTTATTTATGTTTAATCCACTGAAGAATTGTTCAAGAGGTTTATTTTAAATATTTCTTTCACCTTACCACAATAATTTATAGTTTTTGCAAAAATATATGTGTACCATAACCAGAGTAGGGTCTAAAAAATATACTTTTGAGTCATGTTTTTATGTTTAATGCCTAATTTAAAATAGATTTTTTGGTGTGTTCCATTTAGTGTTTACCAGTTTCATTATCACTAGTAATATTCACTAGAAACTTGTTATATTCTTCATATTCTATAAGAAATAGTTTCTGGATTTGCCAAGATAACAATAATAAGTAATGCTATCATTACTTATTATTAGCTATCATTCTTAAACACTGGCAAAGTATTTTCTCGTGCCGTACAAAAATTGAATTGTTATTTCAAGACTTACTTATAGCATATCTAGATAAATAAATGAAATTAATGAGTACTTGTACACTTAAAGAATCTATTTTTAAAACATAGTAATAGTTAGCAGATATGAATCACTTAACTATGAACCAGGATCTCTTCTATGTCTACGTGCTTAATTCATTTATTCTCAAATGAAATAAGTGCTACCATTATCTTTTCTTTATAATAAAGAAAGAGATAAAAAAATTTAAACAACCTGCCCAAAGTTACACAGCAAGTAACTGGCAAAATTGGAATTTGAACCAGACAGCTTGACTCTAATTCTCCCATCCTCTTACTCATTACCCTAAATTGACATGAAAATGTGATAAAATAATCTGGCTCTTTCTCAGTTGCTCAAAACTTCATGCATCACAATCAGTTCAACATCAACCTAGCAAAACAAGTTATAAGTTCGTATCAGTATAATTTAACATAAATATCATTTCTCTAGGCCCATTTTGTAGACACATAATTTAAGGGAAGGGAAGAGATCATAGAGATGGGACATTACCCTGGCACCACTTTGAGTGTACAGCTAAGAAAACTGAGGTCCTGACAAGTTCCTTGATTTGCCAAACATCATGCAACAGGTTTGTGGCATGGCAAATTTTTCTTTTGGGAAAAATTCATGCTTAAAAGTGTCACATATATTTTATGTTTCACATCATATTCATCAGTATCAGTAGGATACATCAGTAACATTAGATTCTATATATTGAGAGAACTCATAGCCTCCTCTTTTCTAGTCCAAGTTTTAAGAACCTAATCACCGGCAGTTCCAAATTTACAAATCTATTTTTGTTCCACAATTCCCCATGTAAGAATAGAGATGCTTCTGCCTTAGACACTGCATTCTACAGAATGTAGTGGTGGGTCTACAGCCATACCACCCTGAAAGCACCCGATCTCATCAGAATGGGTTTGCCTCCAACTCCAAAAGCTTATATAATACAAAATACTCTTGGATCACCCTCTATTCCAACAGCACCTGTAAAACCTTAACCAACCTTTACACCCATGTTTCTAGTGGGAAATCAGGAACATCTCCCCCTGTCTTGGCCCATCTTTCACTGTGATATCAGAGAAGCCAACCAGAAATGAGGGCATGTGAGGAAGAGAGAGAAAGATGAGACAGGAATTCTACACAAATCTGGAAGATTTGCTGAAGAAAGCAGTTGTTAGGGAGCCAATCACATGGCAGGAACATACATAAGTCAGTGCCTACAGCAGAGCCTGTCTGGGTACAGAGTTCCCCAAAATACCCTTCCTTCTTTAGCAGTAGGCCTATATTGAAAGACTGCCTTTGTCTGAACATAAGGAACAAAGATCTTCCTTTACAACATGGTCTGTGAGACTCAAGAACTCTGGCAATATGAGTAGCAGTACTTCATTATGCACTTAAACTTCCTGAGCCTTAATAAAGAAAAGTAGTCTGACCCAAGTTGAACCTCAGTGTGATGGTGGAAACATGCCAAGAGCTGTGTAAGAACCAAGAATAGTTTTGAAGAATCACTTGTAAACTTCTTAATATAACAAATGCATTGTGATAATCACATTCTCTCACTCATACACTTGAAGATTCCTCCTGTTAAGTTTCCCTCAGACTATCCTTAATTGACTCACATTCAGTTTTTCAACAGTCACTTTCTCTTCTGTGCTGGGAGTCTTAAATAATAAAGACAATGTGTTATCTAGCTGCTGAGTCAGATGAAGAAAAAAACAAGTGCAAGTTAATGGTGACATGCCGTAGCTAATATGATTTAAAAGTGTATCAATATTGCCGAGAAATAAGCTCCTTCATGATGGCATTTCCTTTTTTTTAAACTTTCACTGTTAACAGAAAATTTTATAGCACTTTTTTCTATCAGTCTTGAAACCAACCAACTACTTATTATACCACGATTATTCTGATGTAGAGAGACTAAGAATATACAGACATTCTGAAAGTCTGTCCATCTCTTTCTAATAGAAGTGTTATACCAAGTTCAAGAATGCTGACTAAATGGAAAAAAGGAATGCCCAAAAAGAAATCCTACAAATAATAAGGCATTCAAACATGGTTACTTAAAATGATAAAGGTCTTATTATAATGACTAAACTTTCTCCCCTTATTTTCTTCCTATAAAGGATAAAAGAATGAAGTCAACAGAAGCTAGGAAGGGTAATGGAAGAGGTTAGCTAATAGGTACAAAATCACAGCTAGAAAGGAAGAGTAAATTCTAGAGTGACTATAGTTGACAATAATTTATTGTATATTTTAAAATAGTTAGAGGAGAGGATTTTTTAATGTTCTCACCAGAAAGAAAGAAAGCATGTCCCCACCAAGGAAGAAAAAGTCATGGATATGTTGCTTATCCTGTTAGATCATGACACCTTATATCCATTATTGAAATATCACACTTTATCCTATAAATACGTGCAATTTTAATGTGCCAATTAAAATTTTAAAGAATAAAAATTTAATTGAAAAAAATTTAAATAGAAAAGATGCCTGAAAAGCTACACTTATCTAATAACCACTGTGGCTATCTAAATTCTTTGAGAATTAGTTTCCAACATTTTCACTTCGTAAAAACCTACAAACATCACACCCACTTGGGCCCTTCCCAGTGTAAATATTCCTTTGCATGCTTTCCCACCTTACACATTTCAGTTGCTTTTTTCTGTCGAGATCCTTTCGTCACCAATATTCTATTTGTTTCCAGTAGAAATTAAGCTGGTGGAAGCAGAACTTTCCCTTCCAAAGTTCTGTTGGTCCTAGAGATTAGCACATGGTCTCTTGCACCAACCATCCATGGATAATTAATATACCATGAAAGGCTCTAAAATATCTTTTCCTGCCACATTTTTAATGTTAAGAAATTTAAGAATAACTTAGTCCCTCTTCACACCTACTCCATTTCCCTGTCCCTTAATACTGTCTATAGTTTTCACCCCTAGCACTACTGGATTTAGATTTAGATTTTTAAAAAATTGTTTCCTAATACTCTGGGTGTTCTCATAGAAAAATATGATCTCAACAACATCTCAAAAGATAATTCTTGAGCTATCTTATTCATATTTACCAATAAAATATTTTTCACCCTAAACATTTGCATAATGTTTATATGTATATATATACATACACACACATATATACATACACATCTAATCTCTTAGAAGAAATTCTTTTGGCTTTTTGAAATAATAGATCTACTATGTATAGATGCATTGATAGATAATAGATTATTAAAATATAATAATGAATCTATTAAAGTATATGTAGATAATATATATGAATCTACCCATAAATGTATATAAATAAATATATGCCCATATATATATATAAATCTATCCATATATATGTGGATCTATAAAAGCCAGAAATTTTCTTCTAGAGATTATCAAGAGCATTAGGAACATTCTGGACCTAATTATAGTCATCTTTGTCAAGATACATTTTTAAATGCATTTTTCTTGGCCTGTATGAATTAAAAATATTAAAGCAGTTCAATTCAGAAGGAATTTGAAGAAGACACTGCAGCACTGTTAACTCCCCAAGGCAGAATGGCTGGTATAATGACAATCCATACAGTTCGGAACATTCCAGAGCAATATTGGGCACAGCCATTACTGAAAGACTAAACACATTTTCCACTTGTCACCTTCTTTTACAGGTTCTAACCAAGGATTCAAAGTGACTCTTAGATAACGTGAAGTCCCATCTGAGATCATCTGGGGAATATCCAAGGCCTTTGAACATTATAAAGGCTAGGTTTTTAGACATGCCACTCTCTTTGCACTAATGAAGATATAGGACGCTGACAAAATATATTACAAGTATACCTAACTACCAAATTTTAAATTTTTGCTGTTTTTCCTGAATATGATTCAATAGTCAGACATGAATTCAAAAGATTACAAGCACTCATATATGTATTTGACTGAATTTGACCTAATTCTTCCCTTGACATCACCTCTTGACATTCTGTTGAGTATAGAAAAATAGAGGCACCAATATGTAATTTTAAATAAGTAATTTATTTTACAATTTTTAAATTGTAAATTGACAGTTTAGTTCCAAAGGATTTTTCACTTACCTTTGCTATAGTTTCAGGTAGTTTCTTAGTGCTTAAAGTTGGATTAGTACTTTATGTCTTTACCCTGTTCACCAGTTTGCCCTAGTCCTTCTACAATCATAAAACTTCATTATTTTTTCAATAATACATTTACAAATGAGATTCTTACCCCTAAATATAGTAAGATTCCATAGAACACAAATCTCCAAAAAAAGCATCGCCGAAGGGCATTAATGAGTTTGGGATTTTTCTTTGAAGCCAACTCTCTATCCCATTCTCTGCAAAAGAATACAAAAAATGGGACAAATGAGTTGCAGATGCAAATATTTGAGCTGTCCTAATTCCCTTAACATAGCTAATTCCACACAAGTATATCCAAAGAGATTAGCCCAAGTGATTAAGAAGACAAAACCTTGTGAAGATTCTCGAATACCAACTGCTCAACCAGATATTTGGCAGATTTTGATACTCTGCCATATATCATTCTATCATAAAAAGGCCACATTGTGTGTGTTAAAGAAAAATTCTGTGCTTCTTAGAGCAATAAAAAGAGAGGACAGATAAAGACACTCATGAATACACATTGCTTATGATTACAACAAGGACACCTAAAAAATTAGTTAGCATTTGTTGCCCTCAACGCATTTGTTGCCCTCAACGCAGAGAAACTAAAGCAGATACCTTAAAAGCAACTGAGGCCAATAGGAGAAGGAGACCAGGAACTAGAGAAAAGGTTAGATCAAGAAGAATTAACCTAGAAGGTAACACACATGCACAGGAAATCAATGTGAGTCAACTCCCTGTATAGCTATCCTTATCTCAACTAGCAAAAACCCTTGTTCCTTCCTATTATTGCTTATACTCTCTCTTCAACAAAATTAGAGATAAGGGCAAAATAGTTTCTGCTGGGTATCGAGGGGGTCTGGGGGAGAGGATGGGGGTGGGGTGGGTGGTAAGGGAGGGGGTGGGGGCAGGGGGGAGAAATGACCCAAGCATTGTATGCACATATGAATAATAAAAAAATAAATTAAAAAGGTGAAAAAAATAAACACATGAATATTCTAAGTTTTTTCTCCTTTACCATCTGATCCTTATCTGTTTAAAACTGTAGCAGGTATGACAATATTTAGCTTTCAAACCAAAAGTAAATTAAAATATCAAGTGGATTTTTAAGTGACTTAACATGAGAAAAAACTCTTAGACTGTTTTAGAGGCATGAGATAAATAGCATCAAACTTTATTTTCAACTATTAAAACCATTTATTGGAGTAGAAGTCTTTGAAAAATGGGACAGAATAAGATTATATATTGTGTAATAAAAATAGACATTAAGTAGTCTGAAAACTGGCTGAAATCTAATACTTGCTATTTTCTTTTAAATACCAAAGGACCATCAGCTGATTGTATTGAAGTTATTGCCACTACTGTTAATAAAAGTCATTTTCTTTTTCATGAGGGAATAAAATAACTCTAAATGTTACCCTCATCTTAGCTTTCAAATTGTGAAGACAAAAAGTTCCATAACCACAGGCGGAAACTAAAGAAATGGATAAAGGCTTTGCATTTCATCTGTGGCTATTCCCATTGCTATCAAGTTACCATAACTAAACATGGTTCTACGTCACTCAAGAACACACAACTGAGATTTGAAGACAAGTTTGGCAGTCTCTGTGAATGGATCATGGCTTCATTCTAAAGCTTGCTAACAAAAAATTATCTGGAAAGCTAGTTACCCTTCCCTATCTATCCAACTCCCCATACTCTTCCCCACCTTTTCGCTGGCACACAAGGAACTTGCCTTGCATCCATAAGATTTAGTAACTTGAAATAGCATAAGAAGGTAAACAGGGAGTAGAATCATCTTCTTCATCAAAGGACTGGGTCCAATGGGAAAGCGAGAAAAAAGTGGCTCATAAACCAAAGAAATGGCTTCAAGGTGAAGAAGTAGACAATGGCGATGTGATGTAAGAAACTTGTCATTATGTTTGATAAGCAAGAGGCCCCCAGTGACCCTGGTAATGTAGTTTTAGAAACACAGTAGGAGTAGAAACCATATTTCAAGGAGTTGAGATGTAAATGAACAGTACAGGAGTAAAAAGACTAAGAGAGCAGAGAAATGATAGCCAGGAAAGGAAAAACAATAAGAAGTCACAACTTGAGAGGAGGGTAAATTATAGAAGTTTTTTAAAAAAAAATAATGGTCAGGACCTGAACAGTGAATATCTAAGAGGAAGAGTGACGAGCGAGGACAGGTGGAGCAGACCCCACAGCACCATAACAGGCTCACATCGGGAGGGAGGAGTTCAGCTTGCACAGTTCAGAGCTACTTACAATCATGGAATGGACATGTGCTTTTTACACTGCAGTGACACAGGATTCAACGCCATGGCCACAAATCGAGCCAGAGGAGCAGAGGCGTCTCCGCTACAGGGTAATCACCTGGAAGCCTTGGTCACAAGGCAGTTGTGAAATACAAGGACAAGGCTACTTCCCAAGGGTGCAGAGGTACACACACAGGTACACAGGTACACAGGTACACAGGTACACAGGTACACACACAGGTACACAGGTACACAGGTACACAGGTACACACACAGGTACACAGGTACACAGGTACACAGGTACACAGGTACACAGGTACATAGGTACACAGGTACACAGGTACACAGGTACACAGGTACACAGGTACATGCAACTCTTCCAGAGGTCTCAATAAATTCTAAATACAAATTTTAAAAGAAAAGATATACAGTAACTATCACTATCATAAAGCCTAGAATTTATAGACATCTTGGCAGAAAGTTGTTGAACTGAAACAAAATAGTTACAAAAACTAAATCAAAATGGGAGACACAATTAAAACTGATGAGAAAACATGTCAGTCCAGGTAATCCTGCACAATTCAGGTGTATGTCTTCTACTCGGCCATTTAAAAAAATAGCTAGAACATAAATTTCTTAGTTAACTTAATACTAGACTGATTAATCTTTCTTTCGGCATTCATTTAGAAGTTACAAAATGATCTACTATAGCATTTTGAATTTGACAATAGATCTACAATGTATTGTGTTCATACATTTTCTCTCTCCAGCAGTTTTACAGGTTTTTATACTATGCTAGTCATTTCACATTCATTCATTCATTCATTCAACAGACATGTATTAAGTAGGCACTGTATGCCAGGCCCCATTCTAGGCCTTTGGGAAAACGTAGTAAACAGAACATCTCAAACCAAACAAAAAAGCCCAAAGGGCTAAAATATCCTAAACGTCATGGCACTTACACAAGTGGTTTATAACAGAAGTTGATCCTTGATCTCGGAAATGTGAATCTTCTTTGCCTACTAGCTTAATTTTTTTGAATAAAGTCAAAAAAAAATAAGGTTTAATATCTTACCTATCTAACTTTGCCCTGAAAATGGCAAAGAGGAGGGAGTGAATTTAATTAAAATAATGTAAACAAAGTACAAAGTACAAACTTTTAGTTTTGGTACAAATACCTTTTCTTCTCTTCTCCCTCCTTTCCTCCCTTCTCTCTCTCTCTCTCTCTCTCTCTCTCTCTCTCTCTCTCTCTCTCTCTCTCTCTCTCTCTCTCCTCTCTTGCTCTCTTCTCTCTCTCTCTTTCCTGTTTTTCTCTCTCTTTTTTCTCTCTCTCTTTCCTGTTTTTCTCTCTCTTTTTTCTCTCTCTCTCTTTCCTGTTTCTCTCTCTCTCCATGTCCCTTTCTCCCCACTCCAGTCCCTCTCTATTATTTAGTATCAGACCCTGTACTGCTGGCACAAGACCCAATCTTGTTCATTCATTCATAGACTGTGATTGGATCCAGCAAGTGAGCATGTATTCAAGAGTCTGCATTTTTCCCATTTGGGCAAAGACAAAAAGTTCTGTCTGTGATCTGTAAAGGCATGAACAAAGAGGACCCCCCACTTGAGAAAGATAACCTGAGGGAATAGCCAGCATAAGGAAAGTCTACCAGGTGATGTTTGAGTCCCTGGTTCCATTCATTTCCTTCAGTCAGTCTTTACCAAATATTCACACACTTTAGGCTTCATGAGCCAAGGCCTTTCCTTTTTGTATTTACTTAAATTAGTTAGTTGAGTTTCAGTCACTGGCAATAAAAGGATCCCAACCAATACTCTTAGAAAGGGGGACTCCAATAAATTAATTACTGTAGTGAGCACTGTTCTTAGATGCAACAGGACAAACCTGGTGGGAATCATAGCTCCAGCATTCATAAACTGAAAATTACATGATCTTTCTGAGCCTCAGTTTGCTCTTCTATAGCATGGAGATAATGATACTTTCCTCCCAGAGTGGCTGGCAGGATAAATTATACTTTATATGAAACAATTACTTGAAAATAAGAAATTTTTACATTTCTTCGGTGCCCAATAGCTGTTACCTTAAGATTTCCCAGGAAGTGCAGGTGTATTCACATGTAAAGATTTTGAAAGCAAACCAGGCATGGTGACACATGCCTGTAATCCCAACACTTAGGAGGTAGAGGCAGGCAGGAGGATTGTGTGTTTGCATCCAACCTTGGCCACATCACGAGACACTGTCTCAAAAATCCAATAGCTGGGGATGTAGCACATTGATATGCCCCTTGTATATGTAAAAGCCCTGGGTTCCATCCCTGCCACTGCAGAAAAAAATTAGTTTGGAAGCAAATATGCATGACTTGCTTCATGATGTTATTTTAGTCTTCACAAAGTCTATCTCATGTTCTGTTAGCACAAATAATTTCTCAGAATGCAAATATGCATTTTCAGCAAAAAAGTCATTTCTCAAAAAAATATTTTTCTATTATGGTTTCATTATTTAATTCCTGAATTAGCTAAAATTTCAGCAAGAATATTAGATGTTCTTATTTTAAATATGCCATTTTAAGAATAAGCCCTCTAGTTTGCTATTTTTCTATTCTCCAAACAGTAATATGAATGTCTCTCTTGAAGGAATAAACAATGTGCAAGAGCATACCTTTCCAGCTTTTCAGATAGATTGTCAGCAGAATCAGCAGAAGGAATTTGATATATATCTGATAATTCCAATTTCTGTCTGTACCCTTTCTTCAAAATTGGTCTGGTCCAGCTAAAACAGAGAGGAGGGACAGATTTAAATATTCACTTGATTTGATCTCCAACACAGACATGCAATCTTCCACCAATTCACTTCTTCTGGTATGTATAAAATACAGTATGCATGTGTAAACATGAGAATAAAATAAGCCAACTTATATAAGTACCAGAATTCATTTCTTACAGGATACATCCATATAAAAATTAAACACCTCTAAACTAATGTGACTGTCTCTTTGCTGAAGGGATCAGGAATCTCATACAATCTTTTCCAACAGAAAGGCAGACTACTAAACAAAAGACATTTAATCAACACTCTTCTATAATTTTGTTGCTATAGCATAAGGTACTCCTAGTGTGCTGTTAAAGGAATTAACCATAGCTAGAAGATGAGCAGTTTATATCAATTTGTTGAGTTGATTATCATCATCACTTCAGGGTAGAGATCATAATTCCTTATGTTTTATCTCCTCACCCCACCATAGTTCCACACACTCTGCACTTCTAGATATCTAATAAATAACAGTTTATGATAGAAATTAATGAAGCTAACATGGGAAATAATTAAGTAGTGTACTCCAGTATTTACAAATATGTTGTTTCTAGCAATTGCATAGGAGAATAACCTTCACAAAGATTACAAAATCCAAAAAGAAAGAGGAAAATGAATTTTGACATAAATAAATCACATATAAAGAGAAATTTCTCAATGAAATTTGAAAGAATGAGATTCTTCTCAGGCAAAATTTCAGGTACTTACTGAAGAAGAGAATCAAATGGTGACTGGGGCATGGCTCTGGTGATAGAGTACCTGCCTAGCAAGTATGAGGTCCTGAGTTCAAACCCCAGTACTGCCAAAAATAAATAAATAAATGGAATTGAAATTGGATTTAGTAAGTCCTAAGCCTATGCTTTCTCTCTCAGTATGTTCCTTTGCTCCAGGGAATTCTAAAATTTAGTGTCATTGAGACAAATTGGTAATGTATCAAAAATGCATGTGAAACCACCGAAAGTCAAGATCTACAACATAAGATAAGTTCTTCATAGGAAAAATGTTCATGAAAGTCATTCAAAATAAAATAGAGGATTGCCGTTCAGAGATCAAATACTTTTATATTGTTCCAGGGAAAAAATTTGCAGAGGGCTCTCATATCCACCCTCACCAGCCCCCTGACCTAGAGGTCCAGGTCCTTCTTTATACTTCCTTGGTCTATGTCTTTTTCAGTAGGCCAGCCCTATGTTCCCAATGGTTCTACAACTTGTCTTTCATTACGATTCAACTGAATTATGGCCCATCCCTAAGACTAAGTAACCTTATCAATTATTTCTTGCTAAGATATTAATGAGTGATATTAACAATTTGTCACTTTTTTCCATTAACTTGTAAATCTGCATTTTTAACAAAAGACTGATTTGACAAATGAATAATTAGTTTTCGTTTTTGCTAAAAACTCTGATCTACTATTTTTCTCAGAGAACAATCATGTACACAGATGAGGCCAGGTCTAATGCAGGCAGCAGAGGTGCAGTGAGCATCATGTGAGAAAGGGTGGCAGCCCACCTGGTGCTCACCATCCCAGTATCCCACGTGCTGGAAAGCAAAGTCGGAAATGTAGTGGTGGTGAAGCTGGAAAAATCCAAAAGCAGTAATTTAAGATATGATTGAGGTTATAAGCCTTTGTAAACTTGAAACCAAGCAGTGAAAAGGTGAAGCAAGAGTTTACTATTTGAAAAAAAAAATGTGTTCTTTCCAAAGAGCTTTTACAACCATGACCATGTTGTGGTTTTAATTTTTAAAATCTTATTAAGTAGGTAGAACAAAAAGGGATCATTGCTCTATTCTAAGGAAAAAGAAATGGTAATGAGATGCTCAGCTTCAGTGAATCACTAAATGGCAGAGATTTTTCTACATTTTTCTAACTTCATTCTTTCCTATACCATGTTTAGCTTTTCCTACTAAAGAAAATTAAGCATGGTGGGTTGTGTTAGACACATAGCTGGGAAAAAACTTTGAAAATGAAGAGAACAAAATCAGATAGGCTGGAGACAGAGGTATGATGTGCACGCAAATATTCAACAGTACTCCAGAAAACAAAAGCAAACACTGACCCATGGCATTGACCACTTTCTGTGATGTATTACTCTCACTTTGACCTATTTCTAGCTACCAAGTATGAAGTCATTGAGCACAGAGTTGGCAAGAGACATGCAGATACACATTATAATATAATAAATAATTATAAGTAATATGTAGTATAGTCCACCACTCAGTTTCATATTATAATTATAATATAATAAACATAAGCAATTATATAACAAATAACATCCATCTACCATTCAGATGTAATTAACACAAATAACCTCAATGGCAGAGATAATAGGAAAATGTACAATAACTAGAAAGTGTTAACTTTTTAATCTTTGTTTTAACATAACTTATTTAATTGTACATTTAAATAATTTAACACTTAATAACAGCTATAGTTATACTGGGAATGTAGTTCAATGGTAAAGCACTTGCTTAACATGTGCAAAGCCCTGGGTTTGATCCCCAGCACCAAAAATTTAAAAATTAAAAAATAACATCTGTGCTTAAGAGCTAGTTCTTAAACTTAAAATCAGGTCTAGCTGACCTGATTTTTTTTAACCATCAGGTCAGCTAGAAAAAGTCAACTTTGGCAGACTAGTGACTGTTGGATGTTTGAAAGGCTTGGAATAAGGATAATGGTACTGGGACAAGCAGAGGATCTATAGAAGATTTAGTAAAAAATAGAAAATAAGCTCCACTAGTTAATAAACCTTGTGTCTGCAATATGTTTGAAATTATTAAAGTAAATGCTTTTTAAGTAAGCAGAATTTCACTTTCAATATCATATGCAAGAGAGCATTTTTCAAGAAATTAAATTTGGGTACTGTGGCTCATGTCTATAATCCTAGCTACCTGGGAGGCAGAGATTGGGAGGAATCACAGCTTGAGGCCAACCTGAAGCAAAAGTTAGTGAAACCGCATCTCCCATTAAAAATTGGTATGGTGACATGCACCTGTCATTCCAGCTACATGGAAGGGTATAAAGGTAGGAAAGTTATGGTTGAGGCACTTGGCCAAAACATGCGAGGCCCCTATGTGAAACACATCCAATAGCCATAAAAGGACTGAGGGGAGCATAGGCTCAAGTGAGTGATAGAATTGCCTGCCTCACAAGCAGGAGGCCCTGAATTCAAAAACCACTCCTTGCCGAAAAAAAAATTAAAAATAAACCTCCTCATTGTCCTAATAAACATATACACAATCTTCCTAATCCATATCCAAAGCCTAGTGACCATGTCCCTAAATGAGTTTCCAGCCTCATTCCAAAGTAACACAATTTGAGGGCTGCTTTTATTAA